AGTCGGTGTCCAAGTCCCAGGTCAAGCCTGATTCTGTGGCCCCGTCACAGCCTTCGCCCAAGGGCCCCCAGCCTCCTTCGGGCTTTGCCAACGTGGCCACTCACTCGACTCTGGTACTGACTGCCCAGACGTATAACGCGTCTCCCGTGATTTCATCCGTGAAGGCTGACCGTCCGTCCCTGGAGAAGCCCGAGCCCATCCACCTCTCCGTGTCCGCACCTGTCACCCAGGGTGGTACGGTGAAGGTTCTCACCCAGGGCATAAACACGCCCCCAGTGCTGGTTCACAACCAGCTGGTCCTCACCCCAAGCATCGTCACCACTAATAAAAAGCTTGCTGACCCCGTCACCCTCAAAATAGAGACCAAGGTCCTCCAGCCAGCGAATCTGGGGTCCGCTCTCAATCCCCACCACCCTCCTGCTCTGCCCAGCAAGCTGCCTGCAGAAGTGAACCACGTTGCCTCGGGGCCCAGCACCCCGACAGATCGAACGGTCTCCCATTTGGCAGCCACAAAGCCAGATGCACATTCTCCTCGACCCAGTGGGCCTGCTCCGTCCCCGTTCCCGAGAGCGTGCCACCCCAGCAGCACCACGTCCACGGCGCTCTCCACTAATGCCACGGTCATGCTGGCGGCAGGCATTCCTGTGCCTCAGTTCATCTCCAGCATACACCCGGAGCAGTCTGTCATCATGCCGCCCCACAGCATCACCCAGACCGTGTCCCTTAGCCACCTGTCCCAGGGCGAGGTGAGAATGAACACGCCCACGCTGCCCAGCATCACCTACAGCATCCGGCCGGAGACGCTTCACTCGCCGCGGGCCCCTCTGCAGCCCCAGCAGATAGAGGTCAGGGCCCCGCAGCGTGCGGGCACACCGCAGCCGGCCGCGGCTGGTGTGCCGGCCCTGGCCCCCCAGCACCCTCCGGAGGAAGAAGTGCATTATCACCTCCCTGTTGCTCGGGCTGCGGCCCCCGTGCAGTCGGAGGTGCTGGTCATGCAGTCCGAGTACCGACTGCACCCCTACACCGTGCCCCGGGACGTGAGGATCATGGTGCACCCGCACGTGACGGCGGTCAGCGAGCAGCCCCGGGCGGCAGACGGGGTGGTGAAGGGGCCGCCGGCCAGCAAGGTCCCGCAGCAGCCCGGGAAAGACGCGGCCAAGACGGCGGAAGCCAAAGCGGCCCCGGCCCCCGCGCCCCACGGGGAGGCCCGCATCCTCACGGTCACCCCCAGCAACCAGCTGCAGGGGCTGCCTCTGACCCCACCTGTGGTGGTGACGCACGGCGTGCAGATCGTGCACTCCAGTGGGGAGCTGTTCCAGGAGTACAGGTACGGAGACATCCGCACCTACCACGGCCCCGCTCAGCTCACGCACACTCAGTTTCCGGCCGCCGCCTCCATCGGTCTACCTCCTCGGACCAAGGCTGCCGCTCAGGTGAGTGCCGCGCCGCCGCGTCGCCCCCTGCGCTGGTCGGGGCACCAGCGCCGGCCTGGACACGTGTCGCCCTTTCTGTGAGTTTAAAGAGGCGCTCCCCAAATTGCAGGGTGAGGGAATTCGATCACCGTGCAGAGGGCCGAGACCCGGGAAGGCGCTCTCTGGGGGGACCTGATGGGGGGCGGTGCCTCCTTGCAGGGGTGTGGGGGAGAGTGAGCGGGTGACCTCTCCCTGCAACCCTCAATGCTGAGTGCCCGAGAGGATCACTGCTGTGGGCCTGACTTCCAGGGGGTGCCTGCAGCTGACCCTGCCCGGGAGCCCATGGCTGGGGAGTGGGGTGGGGGTGGGGGGCGGTGGGCAGGGTGCCGGGGGTAACACGCTCTCCTCTCCGTTCCTCTCTCCCCTGCTGAACTCTAGGGCCCAGCTCCTGAAGGTGAGCCCTTGCAGCCCCCTCAGCCTGCACAGTCTACACAGCCTGCCCAGCCCGTGCAGTCCGCACAGCCTGCCCAGCCCACGCAGCCCTCCCAGCTCGGCCAGCCGGGCCAGCCACCAAGCAGCAAGATGCCTCAGGTGTCCCAGGAGGCGAAGGGGACCCAGACAGGAGTAGAACAGCCTCGCCTCCCAACCGTACCTGCAACCAGGCCAGCCGAGCCTCATGCCCAGGTTCAGAGGGCGCAGGCAGAAACCAGCCAGACCTCCTACCCCTCCCCCGTGTCCGTCTCCATGAAGCCTGACCTCCCGGCCCCTCTCCCTGCTCAGGCTGCCCCGAAGCAGCCGTTGTTTGTCCCCACAACCTCAAGCCCCAGCACCCCTCCAGGACTGGCTCTGACGCACACCGAAGCCCAGCCCGCTCCCAAACCAGATTCTTCTCCACACTTGACTTCCCAGAGGCCTGTGGATATGGTCCAGCTCCTGAAGGTAAGCCTGGGCAGGGGGCCTCCCCGGCTCCCCTCCGAGCTTTGCGCTGTGTTGAAGGTCCTAAGGTCCCCACTTAGACCAGTAAGCTGTTGTCTGGGGCCATGTCCAGCATGGCTCTGCTCTGCAGCCGGGAGCTTAACTTCCTGTCTGTCTCCCCGAGAGCAGAAGTACCCCATCGTGTGGCAGGGCCTGCTGGCCCTCAAGAACGACACGGCTGCCGTGCAGCTCCACTTTGTCTCTGGCAACAATGTTCTGGCCCATCGGTCTCTGCCCCTGTCGGAAGGAGGCCCCCCGCTGAGGATCGCCCAGAGGATGCGGCTGGAGGCCTCGCAGCTGGAAGGGGTTGCCCGGAGGATGACGGTGAGCTTCGGGGCCCAGGCGAGCGACTGCCCTGCCCATGAGGGAGGACGTGGCTTGCCCCGCACGTTCTGTCGCCGGCGGGGGTGTAAAATGCCTCTAGGCTCAGAAACCGTTTTTTTTTCAGTCAACAAATAGGGTGGACTTTAAGGTCGGGGGTGGGGGTGGGGGGTCTTTTGTGGACTCCGCAGCCGAACCCCTGGTCGGACAGGCCTCCACACGGGGCCACTGTCCTGAGGGGAGGCCCCGGATGACCGACAGCTGCTGCTGTCTCCACAGGTGGAGACAGATTACTGTCTGCTGCTGGCTCTGCCCTGCGGCCGTGACCAGGAGGACGTCGTGAGCCAGACCGAGTCCCTCAAGGCGGCCTTCATCACCTATCTGCAGGCCAAGCAGGCGGCAGGGATCATCAACGTTCCCAACCCTGGCTCCAATCAGGTCAGCCCGCTGTCCACACGTGGTCAGGCTGGTCAGCCGTCTAATCGGGCTACCAGTGCCGACTCCGAGGAGTCCAGAGGTTTCTCCGAGGTGGGCAGAAGGGCGTTTTGGATAGAGGACTCGAGCGGAGTGTAGAGGTGGGGCCCCCGTGGCCCATCCTGGAGCTAACCCAGGGCGGGACCGCTGAGACCACAGAGGTTTTCAGCTCCGGGCTGCGGAGGCTCCCCTGGAGGGTCGTTCAGGTGGCTAGTTTGCGGACACCTAGGTTCTTCCTGGTGGACAGTCCCGGGGGCATTAGCTGATGGGGAAACGGACTCACCCGAGCTCGGTGTGTTGGGCCCCCAGTTGGGAATGTTTAAGAATGGCAGTGGGGTGGCTGATGTGGAGACAGGGGATCCCACTCTTCTCTCTCGTCCCCCCCCCCCCCCCAGCCCGCCTATGTGCTGCAGATCTTCCCGCCCTGCGAGTTCTCCGAGAGCCACCTGTCCCGTCTGGCCCCCGACCTCCTTGCCAGCGTCTCCAACATTTCTCCCCACCTCATGATTGTCATCGCCTCCGTGTGAGCCACTGATGGCCGCCACTCGGTGTATCTCCCCGAGGCTCTGCAGCGGAAAGTAAACCCAGGACCCCCCAGTCACGTGGAGGAAGCAGCTGCCGAAGGGGACATCCTCCACTGCCAGCCGCCAGCCTTGCCCTCGAGCCCGCTCCCCCCCAGGCTCAGGGGGGCAGACCCCTCTGGGCAGTGGTGCTGCTACCTGTGTGTTTACATGACATTTAGCCCGAGGACAGACCACCACCCGATGGACTCTGCAGACACCTTGGGGCTGGGTTTCTCTCTCCTCTTTTTGGAGAAAAGGAACTGGGCAGTGGAATTAATTTTTTGTTTTTGTTTTTAAGAAACAGAACAGAACTGCCTTTGCACTAAATTAGTGACTTGGACTTTTGTGACTTGGACTTTTGCACAGTGAAGACAGGCTGTGACACTCTGGATGTCTTGGTGGACCTGAAACACACACATCGAGGACTCGAGCGCAGGACATCAGGTTTCTGCCGGAACACTGGGGTCAAGGAACATTTCATTGGGTTGTTTTGTCCCCACCCCGCCCTTCCCCTTGTTCATTTGAATGTGTCACCTTTCTCAGTTCTCCTGCCGCCACCATCTTTGATTCACCCGGATGTATAGTTTACAATCGAAAAAGAGCAGACAGGAGGATTCTCTTTCCTGGTGGGATATGCGGAACTTGGGATGTGTGTACATATAAATATATAATATATATAAATATATATAATACCGACTTAAAAAAAAATCAAATTCCCCTGACATACATTTTTTTTAATCTGTGCCAAAAATGTGTTTTCAGAGAAGAATCTTATTTTCATACTCAGACTTTGTATTGTCACTCATTTGTATAAGTGCGCTTCGTTACAGCACGGGCCCTGCCCCCGCGATTTGGAAGTGTCACACACACAAAAAGACTGTACAAAAAAGACTGGCTTCCCCCCTTCCTGTTACCTTGACCTCTTCCCCCCCCCAACTTCCTAACACTTATTAATTTATGAAACTGGTTTTCTCAGCGCAGTTTTGTTTTGTGTGTCCATTGGATTACAAACTTTATTAAAAAATACAAAACACGTCAAGTGTGGATGTGACTGTCACTTGGGAGGACCAAGGGTCCTTTGCTTATGGGAACAGCTGGCTCTCATCCCGCTTGTTTCCCTCCCCCAGTCTGTCCATGGGACCTGCTCCCTTCCTGCCACTTAATCCTCCCCAAGCATCATGTTATCTTGTACAAAAGAGGTTTCTGCCACAGACCGAACTTATTTGTTCTCGGGTAACGTGGAAGGCACTTCAAAGTTGGATTGGGGGGGGGGTGAGGAGGGGGCCGGGGGAACCACCCACCAGGCAAACTGAAACCTCGTAGGCAAACTTTGGTGTCTCGTCTCTCGCCCCTTCCTCCTTCAGGCCTGCCCCGGCGCCAGCAAGGAGGGTGGGGCGACTGGGCCCGGCTCCCCCTGCAGCTGGACCCACTAGAAGCTGGGGAGGCGGGGTGTGGGGACAGGACCACAGAGTTGATGGTCTCACTTGAGAGAATCACGGGGCTCTCGGAGTGAGGAGGTGGCGCCATCTCTGAGGGAGGGATTACAACTGCTCGGAGCAAACTGTAGAGGGGCAGGGACGGCATCCGCTCTCCCTCCTGAGGAGGGTAAGGATGAGCTGTTCTACGGCCCCTGCTGGCCGTGTCCCCCACCTCCCCCCATCAAAGCCCCTGGCCACGCGTTTCTGACCCTCAGCCTGGTCGTAGACTCCATCGGTTGAGGGCAAATAAATGTTCCCGAAAGAGTGGGGCACTGGCTCGGCCTTGATCCTGTGAAGTGAGGGGGGAGCCCTCCTGCTTCCCCAAGCCCAACAGAGCTGGGCCCGTGGCCCGCTGGGCCTGGCTCTCTGCCTACCTTGCCGCTCTGGCTGAACGGGCTTCTGAGCTGGGCTCTCTCTGGGGTGCCTGGATCCTGGTAAGCCAACCCAACTGGGCAGAGGGGGAGCAGGGTCACAGCTGTGCTCCACGGCGGAGAGGGGAGCGCAGGTCCTGAAGCTGAACAGGTGAGAAGCCCAAGGGGGAGACTGGATGAGGGGATGGGGTGCACAGAGCCACGGTCTCTCTGGCCCCAAGCGTGCCGCCCACACCCCGACTCCGGACAAGGAAGCCAGCTTTTTTTTCCTAGACCGGTCCAGAGGCACCAGTCCCACTCTGCGGGAGGGACAGCCTGGCCGCTTGGCCAAGGAACAGGTCGGTGCCGGCTGGTGCCTGGGAGGGGCAGCCCTTCCGTGGCTTCGGCCACAGCTCTGCCAGCTCCCCGCCCCACCCCCACAGGGAGCTATAGGCAGCGTTAGAAAATAATCGAATTTATTCTCTCTAGGGAACGGGGCCACCCGTCTCAGATCTAGGGTGCCGGCCATCCTTAAATAAACAGTCACAAGGAGGGACGCCCGCTCACTCCGCAGGCGGTGGACATTCAGGGGCTGTGGGGGGCGTCTCTGCCAGAGCGGGCTGGCCATCGGCCCCGTCCCGAGGGCGGAAGACCAGCTCCCCAGCCTGCAGCACCTGCCCGGCCGGCCACGCGCTGCCCGGCCCGTACTGCTGGTAGAAGTCCGCGTCCGTCTGGAACATGACCAGTGCCTGGGCCGTGTGGATCCGCACGTGCTGCGCGAGGCTGTTCGCGTCCAGGAACTTGTCCCCACAGGAGTCACAGGCGTAGAGGATGTGGGTGTTGGGGTCTGTGGGAGGTGGGGGCCGTGGTCAGGATGGGGACGGCCCTCGGGGTCCACCCGTGTTCACCCTCCGGGCGGCCCGGCCCCTCTCACCTTCCTCCTGGACTTGCTTCACGGCTTTGCTGATCTCGGCCTTAAGTACTTCCGTCTCGTCGGCGGTCACCGCGGCCCCCACTGGTACCACTGCGGGCAAAGGCGGGCGGAGTCCGCAGGGCCTCAGGCCTCAGGCGCCTGCCCCGTCGCAGCCACCGCGGAGGCCAGCTGCCCGTGACCACCCCCTGCTGCCCGCAGCCCGCACCTGTGAGCTGAGTGACGGCCGTTGCCGCCAGTGCCTCGGTGGCCAGCGTGACCATGTCATCCACGGTGACCACGCTGACCTCACTCCCCTCCTCGGGCTCCAGGATTTTGATGCCCGCCTTGCCCTGGTGCACAGTCTTCACGTGGGAACGCAGGTTGTCCACCCGGTTGAAGCCGCGACCGCACTTGTCACACAGGTAAGGCTTCTCTCCTGGGGGGGAAGGCAAGGTTCTCGCCTGCCGTTGGGGGGGGGGGGGGAGGACCTCAGTGGCCTCCAGCTTCCCCCAAAACCCTGTCCTTTCCAGCAGCAAGTGCTCTGGGGCAGCACCAGGGCTGCGCGGAAGCCTCCAGTGGCCACCGCACCTTCAGGAAACTAGGAAAATGGGGTCCTCATTGGAACTGGACCTCCCAGGTCCCCTGCGGCAAGGACTGGCACCCAAGGCTGGGATCTGCAGGCACCTCCCTTCCCACCAGCCCCGCCCCCAAGAACACGGCCGGATGGGGCAGGCGGGCACCAGCTCACCGGTGTGGATGATGATGTGCTTGGACAGGTCCCCCACGTTCACGAAGGCCTTGCTGCACACGCTGCACTTGTGAGGACGAATGTTGTCGTGGTGGCGAATGTGATTGGCCAGCTGGCTGGACTGGACGAATCTGCGGCGCGCAGAGCAAGCGGCTGGCACCGAACTGCCCGGCCCCGAGGTGGGGGGGCGGGGGGCTGGGCGGGGGCCTCCTGCCTCCTCTTCTGGATCGGGGCGGACCTGGGGACCTGTGCCTGGGCCGGGCGGCAGCCGGGCCGCTGCCAAGCGAGCTCTAGGTTCGGTTCCTGACCCCCTTCCCCGAGCGAGCGGGCTGCCAGGGACCCCCGTGGGGCCCGGGGCGTGCGGGGGGCGGGGGCGGGGGCGGGGGGGGGGAGGGCCAGGACCTCTTGCCGCAGCGCTCGCAGACGTAGGGCTTCTCCCCGGTGTGCTGGCGCACGTGCGCGATCAGGGAGCTGGCCTGGGTGAAGGCCTTGCCGCACATCACGCACTGGCACGGCTTCTCGCCTGGGGCCGGGGGGCAGGAGAAGGCGTCGGCACCAGCCCCGCCCCGCACCCCCCCCCACCCCCACCCCCCCCGGCCCCGGGCCGAGCACCCACCAGTGTGGATGCGCACGTGCCGCTGCAGGGCGCCGGGGTCGGCGAACTGCCGCTGGCAGTGGACGCACACGTACGGCTTCTCCCCGCTGTGGATCCGGAGGTGCCGCTTGAGGTTCCCTGTGGCGAGACGCGGGGGGGGGGGGCGGGGGGGGCGTGAGGCGCCGCCGGGGGGGGGCGGGGGGGGAAGCGCGGGCGCGGGGCCTACCTGAGGTGGTGAACTGCTTGCCACACTCCCTGCACTTCAGGGGCCCGTCGGCGATGTGGATCTTCAGGTGGGCCTTCAGATTCCCCACCTGTGCCCAGGCCGGGGTCAGAAGGGCCACCGGGGGAACGTGGCCTCGGCGGCCCCTCCCCGGGAACAAGGGACGCTCAGCCCCGCCCCCCGCGGGCCCTGAACGGAGCTCCAGCTTTCCTCGGGGCCGGCGGCATGTTCCGGGTCCCGGCAGCGGAAAGGGGGAACCACCTCCCCACCCCAGCTCTTTGGGGGCCCTCCCCGCCGTGTCCGCGGGGGCGCGCGCACCTGGTTGAACTTCTTGTCGCAGTGGGGGCACTTGTGCTCCTTGTCGGTGTCGTGGGTCTCCAGGTGGCGCATCTTGGACGTGGGGTCGGAGAAGGAGCGCCCGCAGTACTCGCACTGGTAGGGCTTCTCGCCGCTGTGCACCAGCTGGTGGCGCTTCAGGTTGCCCGACGTGGTGAAGAGCTTCCCGCAGTCCTCGCAGCGGTAGCGCGCCTCGCCCGAGTGCCGCTTCTTGTGCAGGTTCAGCAGGCTGATGAGCCGGTAGCTCTTGCCGCACTCCTCGCAGCCGTACGGCTTCAGCGGGCTGGGGGCGACAGGGCGACAGGGCGGGGAGCGTCGCTGGGCTCCCAGAGGCCGGGCCCCGCGGCGGGCGGGCGGGCGGGCGGGGGGCGGGGGGGCGCGTACCTGTGAGTCTTCTCGTGGGCCTTGCACGCAGCCGGGTCCGAGAAGGCCTTGCTGCACTCGCGGCACGAGAAGGGCTTCTCGCCCGTGTGGATGCGGATGTGCCGCTTGAAGTTGCCGGTGTGCGTGAACTCCTTCCCGCAGTCCTGCGGGGGCGGGGGGGCGGGGCGTCAGGGAGCCGGCGGGGGTGGGGGGGGCGGGGAGCCGGGGGCGCGGGGAGGGCTGCACCTCGCACTTGTGGATGACCGAGCCGTAGGCCTTGGACTCCGTGCGGTCGCCGTAGGTGCCCGAGCGCAGGCCCCGGGCCTCGGCGCCCAGCTCGTGGCCGGAGTCCGTGCTGGCCGACTCCTCGCTCTCCTCGGGGGCCTCCCCCTTCTCCAGCGGCGGCCCCTCTTCCTTGACCTCCGCCGCGCCCTCCTCGTCCCGCTCCTCTCCTTTCCTGGCCGGCTCCACCTCCATTTCTGCCGCGAGAAGGGCAGGCACTGAGGCGCTTGGGAGGGCGACAAGGGGCCTCTGCAGGCCGCGACCTCAGAGCCAGCGAAGGCCGAGGCGGAGGTCTGGGCTCCGCTGCCCTCAGGGCATGGGCTCCCCGCAGGGCCCCGCTCGGTCCCGCAGCCGCAGACAAGCCTGCCAGGCGCCGGCCGGGGAGAGGGCCCCCCCCACCCCAGCCGTCCGCTGCTCGGAGGGGGCCGTGGGCCAGTGTCCCCCGGGGGCTCGGGACCTGCTCCGCGGTGGGTGCGTGGGGTGAGGGGCTCCCTACTGGCGCTCGGCACTGGCCCAGCAACACTCCCAGGCCAGCAGAAGCACGGCCGGTGCGTCCCCAAGAAAAAGAGGCCAGATTTCGAGAATGGAAAGATGCCTTGGGCCCAAAGCTAAAGCGAACTCATGGGGGGATCCACTGGAGGGGTGCAGGAGGGACGCTGGGGGGCGTGAGTGCCGGCTGGCTGGGCCCCAGGGGAGGGGCAGGGTACCTTGCTCGGAGCTCTCTGACAAGGCGGCCTCGGCCTCGGCAGCGGCCATGCTGCTCGTGGGGTCGGGCTTGGGCTCCACGGGGGGTGGCTCCCGGGGGGCATCAGCCTTCTCCGTCTGCTCGGCCCCTGGGTGTGGTGTGGGAACACGCGAGGCTGGGTTAGGGCCTGCCGTCCGGGGCGGAAGGCTCTCCTGCACCAGCCCCCGGGAGCGGCTGAGGCCCCAAACGCAGGCTGCCTGGGCCTCTGCTCTGGCTGCAACAGGCGCCCCAGAGCGAACAACGCGTCAGTCTGGGTAACCAGAGCTCAAGGGGTGTGGCTGCTGGGCCCCCCACTCCCGCCTCCCGGCCCCAGGAGCCTCCCGAGGGAGGCGCTCGCTGCACTGGGGCCCGGGCTGCCGGGACGGGCTGGGACGGCCAGACAGGTCCTCGGTGCCGTAACTCACCGCTGGCCGTGCTCTCGGCCTGGCCGCCCCGCTCCTCTTTGGGCTCCCGGCCTGGGCCTGTGGGCGGACCGCTGCCGCCAGGGTCCAGCTCACCCAGCGTGGGGGCAGCCACCTTCTCCTCTTTGGCTCTCTTGTCTCCTCCTGCAGATGGTACAGGACAGACCTGCCATTTCCCGTCACGTGCCCATCACCTCGAGGGGTGAGGTGGCCCAGTACTTGGTAGCTCTTCCAGATCCTCCCTGGGGATACATCTACGTAGTGGCTTGCCAGTCTGTCTCCCCAGGCATCTACTGCACACGCCCGGCGGCCGCCTGGGCCCAGGATCAACAGTCCCGGTGCCGCTTCCGTGGGGGCGCCCACACCGGTCGGGGAGCACACCCCACACGCAAAACAAAGTCGCTGCTCAGAGTCAGCGCTTCGGAAGGGAATGGGGTTCTCTGCAAAGGGTACCATGAGAATCTGGCCCGTAGCCGGCATCAGGAGGAAGGGCACGAGAGGGGAAGGGCAGCCGGAGGAGCGACCCCCGTGTGCAGAGGCCTGGGCCAGGCACGCCCCCAGCTCTCTGGGGCAGCAGAGCACAAAGCAAGCGGATAAAAGGTGGGGAAGGGGTAGGCGGACGGGCCCCTCGGAAGGCTTTCCTGAGACTTACTAGCACCCCACGGTGCAGGCAACGCCGGGTAAGGAAACTGAGGCCCAGAGAGAGGAAAGGGAGAGTAAGAGGCAACACCCCATCCAAAGCCGCCTGCTCAGGAACAGCCTACCAAGACTCTTACCTTCCGTGGCCGAGGCCACCGTATTCTCCCCAGGGCTGGCGGCCGGCTCAGCCAGTGACTTGAGGGCATGGCAGGCCGTGATGATGTCCTGCATTTGCAGGAAGCTGGCCACGGCCAGCACATCGTCCACGTTCTCGGAGCTCAGGCTCAGCTTGGCCGTGTACATGAACTCCAGCACCTGCCCCAGGCCTGCCAAGGACACAGAAGGCCATCACGGACCCACCTCAAGGCACTGGCCGCCGGCTCAGCTGCCCCACTCGGCAGCAGGACCCGGGGATCTGTGAAAAGCAGAGTGGCAGGCCACCAGCACCCCCCCCATACTGGCGCCCAGACCACAGCCTCTGAAATGAAGTACCCCCACAGAGGCCAGAGGGGGTGACAGCTGCCCTGCACGGAGGACAGGGGTGTGAATGCTCACTCGACACGGAGGACGGGGTGTGAATGCCCACTCTGCACGAGGACAGCGGTGTGAACTCCCCCCCCCCCCCCCGGTATACTCTCCACCACTCGGCCACCACACCCCACCACCGCAGGACACTCTAAGAGGGTGTCAGCACTGGCTTTCATGAGGGCTCTGCCAAAACGCATCCGACCTCCAGGCCAGTCACCTGACCTCTCTGGGTCTCAGTTTCCATATCCGTAAACCGGGGGACCACCACCTCGCCCTGACCTTCTCATGGCAGGTCCGCCATTCTGGGTTAGGAGCCAAATCTAGGACCAGTTCCTTCTCAATCCCCAGGTCTTCCCGACACCCCTCCGAGCCCCAACCGTGGCCATCCCCATCATGGTTAGCACGAGGGTAGGGGTTCAGGACGGACTGGGCCACGGGAAAGGGTCGGGGGCTGGGAAGAGCACCGCTGTTCTCTGCCCCTCCCGAGCCGGTCCTGCATGCACTCCGGCCCAGAGCTTGCCACGGGCCCTTCCTGTCAGTTCTCTTCTTACCACCCAGCTCCCAGTCAAAACAGGCCCCCCCAAATGTGGAAGGAACTCGATGCCCACACACTCGTGGCCTGGGGCCCATGTGGGAGGCCTGGCGCACCCCTCAGCTCCAAGGTGCCACCCCCAGGAGGGTGGGGGCCGTGTCAGGAACGTCAGGAGGGCCTTGCGTGGCACAGAGCCGGCCACAGCTTCCGAGCCTCCGCAAGCGTGGCCCTGGACCCAATGGGGTACCTGCCGCGTTACTGATGTCCAGGTGCACCACATCCTTCTGGTCCACGAAGAGCATCCTGAAGTACTCGCTGCAGGCCGCCAGAACTGCCTTATGGGCTTTGAAGTCAACCCCGTCCACCACAAACGTGCAGTCACACAACAGTCCCAGCTGCCGCTGCTGGTTCAGCTGCTCCAGGACGTGCCGGCTGTGCTGGGGAAAATCCATGGCTGCGGAAAGCCGGGGGGCCCTCGCATTAGCAGACAGAGAAGACGCCAGCCCGCCCAACGGTCAACCCCCCAACTCCCAGGTGAGAAGCGCCCGGGAGAAGTAAATCCACCAAGGGTAAATCACTCCCGATTCCCTCTGCAAGGCAAGGCTGACCAGCGGTTCCCAGGTCCCTGGGTTTAACTGGCCAGCAAAGTTGCAAAAACCAAAAGCACTGAGGGACCAACAGAAAACAGCCACCTTTGTGTCTTGCCAGGTAATGACATTAGAAAGTCAAAAAACAAATACAAAACACTGATGACGGTGAGCATTAAAAAAGACAAAGACATGGTCAGTTTAACATTTTTTACAGAAAGAAAGCACGACATAATCTTAGAAGGCCAGCTCCTTCAACTCGATACATTTGGCTTTACAAAAACCTATTTCGTTGTTTTCCCCGTTCTGTCACACAGGTGAGACGTGCGTCTAGGAAGACAGATGTTCCATCGCCCAGCATTTCTGGAACGGACCCCCTCCCGCAGCACCCACAGGGCTCGGGTAAAGTCCTGCCCTTGGGGGCAGGGACCCGTCGCTCGCTCTGATTCATAGGCTCAGGGAACTGCATAAAGCTGGGGAGTCCTCTGCCTCCAGAAACCTCTCCAGGCTGTCCCTGGAGGAAGAATGAACTCTGGTCCTGACCCCAAGAGCTGTGGGGCTGGCTTCAACCTCTCTGGCAAAGGCCTCCCTTGATGCCTGGAAATCCCACAACTGTCTCAAGTGAAAATGCTCAGAAAAATTCCATGGCCTGGTGCCGAATAATCATGAACTACCACAAGCCATGACTAAATAAGTATCTAAAACAGCTCCCTCCTCCCCAGCAGCACCACGCCAGAGTGCATCTCAGACCAGCATTTTATAGGGAAAATAGCAGGCCCTCAGTTCAAGAAAGACCCAGTTTCAAAATAAAAGTCAACACCCCCACTCCTGGGGTCACACTGCACAGACCTCCCCCCGCCCCCCAACCCAGGGCCAGGCTGTCAGGCCCTGGTCCCGCATCTGAGGCCTGGGGCTGCTCAGAGCTACCCCAGGCTCTTTCTGGGCAAGTGAGAATGACACTTCGGGGCTCCCGGCCCCCAGGTTTCAGCAGCCCCTCACGCGCTCCCGCCGTTCTGTGACATCAGCCTCCTGGGGGTGAGTCACTGTGCGGGAGCCCTGACCATGTACGGTGGCCTGGCTGTGATGAGCAGCGAGGGAAGCCACGCCTGCCTCCCCACCTGCAGGGACTTGGCCAGCAAAGCCCACCCACCCTGTGGTGTCTGGAAACTTTGCAAAACCAGGGCTAGGTGTCTGCTGAGCTGGGGGAGGTCACCGGGCAGGCAGGCAGGGCTCCAGGGAGGGAGGGGGAACGTGGCGGGGACAACAGCCTGTGTGCCACGTGCCAGCCTCTGTCTGAGCTGTGAGTTCAGAGCAGCTGTTGCTGGAGACCCAGGAACAGCCTTTCCCTCCCTCCCACATCCCCAAGACCATCCTCCGATCCTGGCCTCCACACACAAGCTCCCACGGCTTCTCGGGTCTCTGCTCTGTCACGGTGCCACCAGCTAGAGCTCGGCAGAGAGGCACCAGGGGCCCCCGAGCAGAGGCCCCTACGGACACACAACACCTGGGAAGGCGTCCTTGTTGGTCTTCAGTCCCTAGAACAAGCAAGTTCCTGTTGTGACCTGAAGGAATGAATCGGAGGAGAATTCTGGCTGCTCTGTGCCCGAGCTGGTAAAATAAAATAAACATGTTTCTGGAGAACATGGAAAAGAACCAGTGTCCAGTCCATGGGTTGAACACCCAGGCCAGGGCACTCAGGCCTAGGATCCGAAGGCAGTACACACCGGGCAAGAGGTACACGGGACGGAGGCGGGGGGCAAGGAGAGGCCAGGCCAGCTCACCCCCAGATCTGCCTTCTCGCTGGGGCCAGGGGGAGGCACGTGAGCATGTGTCCCCGTCACTAGTCACTCCCTATGTCCTCGGAAGCCCAGGTGCAGAAACCCCTCCCAAGTGCGGAAACCCCTCGCCAAATGGAGAACCACCAGAGCCCACGAGGGTCAGATGCTCCCTCAGCTTCAGAATAAGCCCATGCGGCACTTGGCAGCGACCCCGGCTCCTTCACCTTCACCAGCAGCAGACCCGAAAACTGAAGGGGGAGGAAGTGTCTCCCAGGTTCAGAAACAATCAGGGAGCATCCGCTGAACAACCCTCCCCCGCAAGGTACAGAGTTGGTCCAGGCCCTTGGGCTGGAGTCGGCTGAAGGCAGAACCCTCCGGCCGGAAGGCGACCTGACTTGCAGTGAAGAGAAACCTGAGGGACCCCAGGGTGGAAGGGGGCTGCCAGCTCGGAGGGCAGCCGATCAAGGGGGCTGCCACGAGCCCTCGAGCTGCTGCGGGAAGGGCATGGAGCCGGCTCTCCTGGGCTGGACATGGAGGGGGGCGCTCTTTTCAGAGACCTTGGCGAGGTCGAGAAAGGTCCTAGGAGAGGGTGGCTGGTGGCCCGGTACCTCCCGTGCCCCCCCCCGCCAGGAGAGCAGTGGGGGCCCACAGGGACTGTTTTCCACCCAACGCTAACCACGCTCCTCCGACATGAGCTGCCGCCCAGACGTGGGTGTGGGGGCCAGAACACGGAGGCCTGCAGGGTCCCCCGAGGCTGCCTCCAAGCTGTTCCAACAGAGAAACACTCCTAAGGTGCATCTGTTCTGACAAAATCAAAGAAAGAAAAGGAAACGACAAACCGGGAGAGAGGGTGAGAGAGGAAGCAGGGGAAGACCGGGAAAGGGAGGGAGCAGAACCATGTGGAAGGAAGAGAGGGAGGGAGGGAGGGAGGGAGAGGCCACTGCCACACGCAGATGAGCAGCCTTAAACACAGGCTCCAGGGAGTGCAGTCCTGCCATCAGCCCCTGGGAGTGCCAGTACAGCCGTGGGGGCTCCCCGAGTGCTCATGGGGTCCCCCCCACAGGCTGTCAGCAACGCTGGGGACGTTATAACCCCCCCCCACTAGCAGATGGAGCTCAGAGGCCCCCAGCTGCCCCCAGTACTCACCTCTGCCAGCTGGCCCTCCTCCAGAAAGCTCCAGCAGCCCCTCTCTCCCTAAGGCGAGGTGGTGAGCAGGTGAGGGGCCAGCTGGCGTGGTCCTCCCCTCAGATGGGCCGCGCTAGAACCCGGCAGTGCCCCACCCCCAGAGCTACGTGAACCGCTCTAGAAGATCACGGCAATCCTCCCACTGTCTCCTGTTTCCCTCTACGCTCCACAGTGAAACGAGCCCACCGAGATCTGGCCAAGCTCAGAGGGGCCTGGGAAGAGGTGAGGGCACCTGCCTGGGCCACACAGCTGGATGTGGGAGCTGCCCACCCCAGTCAGGGCACGCACCCAGGGATCGCCTCGTCCGGGGAGACTTGCAGCAGTAGTAAGATCAACAGCCCTGCCGCCTCATGTGGGTGATCAAGGGCGGCTCCCCCCGCCCCAGCCCCGCTGTGCAGTCCCTTCCTTCACTCGAGCAGAAGTGTGGGGGGTCCCTTACCTTGTCTTGCTTTAAGGGCGATAAATGTGGGCCTTAAAGCTACTCTAAGTAAGACCCTAAAATCTTAGAACTACAGAAAATGCAAACAGAACAAGACCACAGAGCCCACCAAGCCCAAAGCCCTCAGGTTAGATGCAGAAAATGAAGCCACCAACTGGCACATGACTTGTCCGCTCAAGAAATGGCCCGACCTTCCAGAAACTCCTCACTGCACTCCTCACTCCTGTCCGGTGACCTCTTCCGTGGTCTGATGAACAGGGCAGATGTCTGGCGTCAGAGCTGGGACTCTCTGCTGACGGCCACCCACCCAGCCGGACACACAGCCCTGGCCTGCCTCACAAGGAACTCGTTTGGGAATGGAAAAGCCAGGGACCTGGAGAAGCCCTGCAGTATGATTCCAAAACAGGCACAAGTAACCAGCGTGGACACGGATGGCCACCAACAAGTCCCGCCATCCCACCACACCTGCTAGGAGATTCCAGCTGGATCTGGGTGGCTCTGACCGACGAGAGGCAGGGACTCGGCGCCCATTCTAGGCCTGGCCCTTAAGAGGGCTGCAGATTCCGCGTGGCTCTCCCGCAACCCAGCCACCCCACCGTAGGGATGCCCAGGGTCTCCTGTCGGAGAGAGAGGGCACAGGGAGGAGCCCCGGAGGAGACGCCATGGGCACAGGCCACGTGATGAACTCAGAGGCCCTAGCAGACAGTGGGATGCGAGACGCCTTCCTGGACCTTCCAGCCCAGCTACTAGCTGAATGCTGTCACATGAATGACCCCAACACCCTGTGGAACAAAAGAAACTGCCCAGTCAACGCACAAAATTGGGAGAATAAACTGCCGGTGGGTTGTCACGAAGTTTTGAGGCGGTTGCTCACAGCAACAGATGGTAAAACTATAAAGAAAAGGCAACAAGTAAAAAAATGTCCAGGACGATGGTTCTGTCTGGATGGGAGGAAGGGCAAGCAGGGGTCCTCGGAGACACTGACTCGGATACACCTAGATTTATTATTTTAATTAAACATAAACATTTCATATACTTTTGTATGGCAACATTTTTCAAAAGTTGACAGAATTTTTAATAAGAAAAAAGTGAGGTACAGGTACAATCCTCAATCTTGCCAAGACAGGGCTGTTTGCCAGCATGCTCACGGCCGCTCGCGCTGGGGCTGTGCTGAGGCCCGGGCCCCAGGTTTCAGGGGAGCTGAGTGGGGTGCAGGGGGGCTGGCCACGGGAAACACAACCCATCTCATTCATGCTTCAGTTCCAGAACATCCGCAAGCAGATGATGACATGAGGAAGGGCTCCCCTTGGGTGGTGAAATCCACAAGGTTCAACAAAACCCGGATCCCAGGCCCTAGGACCCTGCCCCCAGTAACAACGAAATGGCATTTGTGGGAGTCTCTTCAACATGGCAAGAAACACGGTGCCGCGCATGGCACTGCCCGGTCACCAAGCAACTAAGAACG